TGGCTGCCCTGCCTGTCCCCAGTGCCACAGGGGCGCTGCCATCTCGTGCTGCACCATCCGTACAGGTGACAATCGTGCCCGTCAGCTTCCCGAGTGGCGTCGTCTTTCCACACTTTTCTATGGAGCCTTCAGGCCCCACGTCGTTCACCACCAGGCTGTTTTGGTAGTTGTTCTCAGCCCCTCCATGGCCATCCTTCCCCAGCATTCCCTACTTTTGGGGGCCTTCTATCTTGTTAAAAAAAGAAAAAAACAAAAAATCTTTTTACCGAGTGAAACATCGACTCCACCTTTATCCCCATTCTCACTGGTGTAAATACTGATACTAACTGAGGATTTTGACTTTGCATTCTGTCAGAATACTGTGTTCAAATAAAAAAGACATAAAAAAAAAAAAAAAAAAAAAAAATCTGATGCCTGCAGTCTGCCCTTCTTTAGCTGCTCTGCCTGGTCCTGCTGCTCGTCCCACCTGAGTGGCACTAGAAGCACTTTCAGGTTTATTTCTTTGTCCCTCTATATTTATTTACTTATTTCCTGGAGGTAGCAAACACGAAAATGCTGTTTCACAGCTCCTGGAAAGCTTTTTCGCCCCCCAAAAAAGCACTTTTCTGTTGCCTGGCTGTGGAAAGTGTGGCTGAGTGTTGGGTGTAAGAGGTGATCTCTGCCCAGCCTGAATTGGGTGCCTGCACTTATTGTGGTTTGAATGTGATTAATTTCTTCAATTAATTCATTTTAAAATCTTGATATTTTTTTCTAAATTCTAGCTAAAAAATTGACCAAATGCCCCACTTTAATTGTTTTTACTCTGGGGGTTATGGGGAGGGGAGGGTTGTCTTACCTTCACCAATTCTGACAAAATAGAGTGGATTCTCACACCCAAGTTCCCGTTTAGCTGAAAAAGAGCTTTTTAATCACTCCCCGACCATCTGATTTAAAAACCAGCAGCTGCTTTCAAGTGGGGGAGCACCAACTGGCCCAAGTCCCTGGCTGGGGTGGAAGGGGAGGTGCCGGGGCTGCCCCTGGAGGTTTGGGGTTGCCCCCAGAGATTTGGGGTTGCCCTCTCTGGGCTCACAGACCCCTCAATCCCCCCGGCCCCTGAGCATCGTGCCAGCCGGGTGGGACCTGTCCCTGCCTCTGCCTGGCTCCCTGCTGCACCCTCTGAACCCGGAGGAGCTCAGGGGTTCCTCCCTCCTCTCCCACAGGAGTGAAAAGGGATTTTCCTGCCCCTGGAGCCGGGACTGTGCTCAGTGGTGAAACCACTGACAGATCCTTTGTTCAATCTTTGTGTTCCTTCAGCCGTTTTCTCAACCCTCAGACCTTTTAATTTCCATTTAATTGTCATTTTCCCTCGTCTCTCCCTCTGTTAAGGCCATGGCACCCGAGTGGCAGTGTCACCTTGGCTGAGTGTGGCTCCTTTTCCCCCGGGCTGAATATGGGGTAAGTCTGAGCGGGGCTGGGGGGCTGGAGGGAGATTTTTGTGCTGCATCTTCCTCTCATCCCTTCTGGAAATCATAATTATCTGGCCTTTTATCAGATAGCAGTATGTGAATATCGTGCAGGAGCTTCAGAGCATCATTTTAAGTGCTTTTTGAAGAGTTCAGGGACTAAAGGTGCCTCTCCCCTCTGCCCATTCAGTGCTCCATGTGGCTTTATTCCCCAGGTTTTGTGGGGTAACAAATAAACCCCAAATTCCCGAGCATCTCACTGCCCCAGCTGTGGCCTCGTGGGTGTTTTTAGATGGACTCTGGGCTGGGAAAAACCCCTTTGGGATGGAGGGTGGTGTGGGCAGAGCTGCTGGCAGTGAGGGGAGGGACAGGAATTGTTGGGGTTTGGGGCATGAGGGGGAAAAGGGATATCCTGGCTGATCCTACAAGGAAAAGGGATATCCTAGCTGATCCTACAAGGAAAAGGGATATCCTAGCTGATCCTACAAGGAAAAGGGATATCCTGGATGAACCTAAAAGGAAAAGGGATATCCCGGCTGATCCTACAAGGAAAAGGAATATCCTGGATGATCCTACAAGGAAAAGGGATATCCTGCATGATCCTACAAGGAAAAGGGATATCCCGGATGAACCTAAAAGGAAAAGGAATATCCTGGATGAACCTAAAAGGAAAAGGGATATCCTGGATGTTCCTACAAGGAAAAGAGATATCCTGCATGATCCTACAAGGAAAAGGGATATCCTGCACAATCCTACAAGGAAAAAGGATATCCTGGACGTTCCTACAAGGAAAAGGGATATCCTGGCTAATCCTAAAAGGAAAAGGGATATCCTGGCTGTTCCTACAGCCAAGGGGTGGAAGGAATTCTGGCTGCCTGCGGAGCTCAGCACCTCTCTGGCACTCAGGATTCCATCTCCGGCTGATGGGGTGGGATGTGGAAGCGGCCCGGGGCAATGGAAGCGGCTGCGCTGGCGGGTCCCGGTGAGGTCTCTAACTTCAGCCGCAGGGAGAGATGTCCCTGCGCTGCCGGGTCCCTGTCCGTGTCCCGGCATCCCAAATAAAAGCAGGGCCGCTCCCTGAGGCTGTGCTGCCGGGTTTCCCGTGCAGAATGGGCCATCCCCGGCCGAGGATGTGCCGGGAATGGCAATCCCGGGCAGCGCAGCTCCGCGGTGCTCGGGCTCCCTGCGGTGGCCGACAGCTTCCATCGCCGCCAGGGATCCGGAAAGCCTTTCAGGGAGATCGCGACAGGAAAATAATCCCAGTCTGACGTAAAAATCGGGACAAATTTCAGGCTGGACATCAGCAGGAATTTCTCCATGGGGAGGTTTAGACATCGGCAGGGGCTGCCCGGGGAGGTTTGGAGGTGTCCGGGAAGGCCGGGACGTGACAGCCGGAGCTCTGGGCTGGGGACAGGGTGGGGACGGCTCACAGCGAGGGCTCGGCGGTGCCGGAGCTCCTTTCCAGGGGGACAATCCCGGGATAATCCCGGGATGCTGAGCCGGGAGCCCGCGGCCGGGACCTGCCGCTTTCCCGCCAAATTGACGGTAGTTTGAATATCCCCACCCACTTATTTGCATATAACGGTCTGTTATCTGCATAACCACGCCCCATTATTTGCATACCACCAGGCCGTTTATCTGCATATCCCCGCCCTTAATTTGCATGACCACGCCCACCTGCGGGCTCCGCGTCAGGCGCGTTCCCCTGGCAACGGCGCCGCGGGTTCGAGCCCGGCCGCGGCGGCTCCGGCTGTCCCTCGGTGTCCCTCGGTGTCCTCCGGTGTCTCTCGGTGTCCCCTCTGTGTCTCCCGTGTCCCTCTGTGTCCCTTCGGTGTCCCTTAGTGTCCCCCCTGTGTCCCCCCACTGTCCC